GCGGTCAAAAGCGAGTGTGTGTGTGTGTGTGTGTGTGTGTGTTTATTTTTCCCTTCAGGTTGGTTTATTAAGCCTCTCGAAGAAACAGCAACTTCAGTGCGCTATCATGAAAGTATACGGTGGAAACTGGTCTCAGAAATGAAAGCTGAAAACATTAAATCATTTCTTCGGTAAGTTTGCTTTTCATATTTGATTCCAAAAATAGTATTTAAAGTATTGCAGAGTACTAATGTACTAATGTATTAAATGTACTAATGTATTAAAACTGATTATATGCATGTGGGCAATCTTCTTTGTCTGAAATTATATATTACTCATTAATTTATGGTAGCTTAAAATGCCTCTTTTTTTTTTTTTTTTTTTTTGGCGTCCAGCTGGTGTGAATTGTCTCATTAAACCACTCTTAGGGTGAAATCCATTAGAATGTTACAGAAGTAGGTCTTTCTTCCTTAATCTACCAAAAAGTATCTCTGGTTGGTTTACTGAGAGATGTTTCAACTTCATGTAACTTTGGACTGCAACTGAATGTTGTTCTTTGTGCCTCACGCCTGGATTTAATCAGCAATTTTATTTACACACCACATTCTGTCAGGAAGAATTAGATTGCTGTTGACTCAGTGATTCAGTAGAAAGAAGATTAAAGTTTCAGATTCTGTCTGCTGCAAGTTGAACCTTTATTCCATCTTGCAAATACAAATGTGTTCACAAATAGGACAAAATGAAAGCAAAAAGGATCAATTCAAATACTCCACCTCCTAAGCATGAAAAAGAGTGATATTCAGGGGAGTGATTATGAACTCCTTGAAGGCAATGACCATGACATTTATTCCGTGTTCGGACTCTTTCAAAGGGTGTCATTTTTTAAAATAAGTTTTATTGAAGTATAATTTACATAAAATAAATTGCATCCCTCTAAAGCTTGCAATTTGATAGTTCTGACAGATGTATGCTAATACTCAACAAACCACCTTCTCAGTCAAGATACAAAAAATTCCATCATGGCGTTTGCAGTTTATTCCTCCCTTCACCCCTATTCCTAGGTAATCACTGATCAGTTCTATGTCACTATAGATTCATTTGAATTTTCTAGAATTTTTGTAAATGGAAGTTACCTTTGGATGTGCTTGGCTGCAGCGCTGGCGTCTTTTCTGGCGGGATTTATGATGGGTAAGTGTACGAAACACCTTCCCCGCGACCCCAGGGCTCGCTCTCTTCCCTGCAGCTGCTCCTCTGCGGACATGAGTGGAGAAAACCTGGAGCTTGAAGGGACTGGGCTGCGCGCTGGGCTCGCCTGGGCAGCAGAGCTAGTTATGGCCAACTCCGCAAATTCCAGCAAAACTAGAAACTGGATGGGATGTATTTTGGCCTTCCTAAAAGACAAAGTTTGACTGAAATTTAGATGTTATTAAATGCTCACCGGGTTCAGGCTACTGTTATGGGTTGTTGAAAAGACAACTTAGAGCTGTCACTACCCGCAGAGATGGAAAAGATGGTTTCATTTCCAAGCAATATTTTACGAGTCAAAATTGTCAGCGAATATGGGCAGCACTGCAAAAAACTGCCCTTCCCTCATCATTTAAGTAAATATTTGTGGAATGCTCCCTGTGTTTCAGGCACCGTGCTAAAAACTAGATTCCCAGGATAGAACAAGAAAGGTCATGCCTTGATGCTTAACGTGTGAGAAAATGAAAGAACATCCTTCAAATAAAACCCGTTTTAACAAATTCAAAATTAGGCTACACATCAGAATTTAAAGGTTTTCTGCATTTAATATGAATATTACTTTTTAAATCTCACCATGATCTATTTGTTAGATAAGAGCTTTTTTTTTTTTGTCTTCTAGTTTTAGTAAAGTCAAAAGCGAGTGTGTGTGTGTGTGTTTATTTTTCCCTTCAGGTTGGTTTATTAAGCCTCTCGAAGAAACAGCAACTTCAGTGCGCTATCATGAAAGTATACGGTGGAAACTGGTCTCAGAAATGAAAGCTGAAAACATTAAATCATTTCTTCGGTAAGTTTGCTTTTCATATTTGATTCCAAAAATAGTATTTAAAGTATTGCAGAGTACTAATGTACTAATGTATTAAATGTACTAATGTATTAAAACTGATTATATGCATGTGGGCAATCTTCTTTGTCTGAAATTATATATTACTCATTAATTTATGGTAGCTTAAAATGCCTCTTTTTTTTTTTTTTTTTTTTTGGCGTCCAGCTGGTGTGAATTGTCTCATTAAACCACTCTTAGGGTGAAATCCATTAGAATGTTACAGAAGTAGGTCTTTCTTCCTTAATCTACCAAAAAGTATCTCTGGTTGGTTTACTGAGAGATGTTTCAACTTCATGTAACTTTGGACTGCAACTGAATGTTGTTCTTTGTGCCTCACGCCTGGATTTAATCAGCAATTTTATTTACACACCACATTCTGTCAGGAAGAATTAGATTGCTGTTGACTCAGTGATTCAGTAGAAAGAAGATTAAAGTTTCAGATTCTGTCTGCTGCAAGTTGAACCTTTATTCCATCTTGCAAATACAAATGTGTTCACAAATAGGACAAAATGAAAGCAAAAAGGATCAATTCAAATACTCCACCTCCTAAGCATGAAAAAGAGTGATATTCAGGGGAGTGATTATGAACTCCTTGAAGGCAATGACCATGACATTTATTCCGTGTTCGGACTCTTTCAAAGGGTGTCATTTTTTAAAATAAGTTTTATTGAAGTATAATTTACATAAAATAAATTGCATCCCTCTAAAGCTTGCAATTTGATAGTTCTGACAGATGTATGCTAATACTCAACAAACCACCTTCTCAGTCAAGATACAAAAAATTCCATCATGGCGTTTGCAGTTTATTCCTCCCTTCACCCCTATTCCTAGGTAATCACTGATCAGTTCTATGTCACTATAGATTCATTTGAATTTTCTAGAATTTTTGTAAATGGAAGTCATACAATATGCACTCTTTTTTGTCTGGCTTCTTTCACTCAGAATGATGATTTTGAGATTCGTCCAGGTTGTTGCATGTATCATCAGTTCATTACTTTTTTTTCTGTGTTGTGTTACATTGTATGGATATACTCTAAAGGTAGCTGAGGGACATTTGGATTGTTTGTAGTTTTTGACTATTGTGAGAAAGCTGCTATGAACATATGTTTATAAGTCTTTTTGTAGATAAATATTTTTATTTATCTTGGAATGGCTGGGCTGGATGATAAGCATATGTTTACCTTTTTAAGAAAATGCCAAAGAGATGTCAAGTGTTTTCAAAATTTTACATTCCTACCTACCAGGTGTGAGTGTTCCAGTTGCTCCACATCTTGGTCAACACTTAGCATTGTCAGTTGTTTTAATTTTAATTATTCTAATTCATGTGTAGTGGTATCTTAATGTGGTTTTAATTTGCATTTCCTGATGACTAGTGATGTTAAGCATCTCTTCGTGTGCTTATTGGACATTTGTATATCTTCTTTTATAAAGTCTCTGTTTAAAATATTTTCCAATACATATTATGGAGAAAAGTCCTTTGTCAGACATATACATTGCAAATATTTTCTCCTTTGGCTGGCCTTTTTTGTTTTCTTACTGGAGTTTTTGAAGGGCAGACATTTCTAATTTTGATAAACTCCAGTTGACCAAATGGTTTGTTTTACGTTTCATACTCTTTGTGTCCTGTCTAACTGCTTGTGAGAAGGTTGTGAAGATTTTCTTCTGTTTTCTTTTAGAAGTTTTATAACTGGAGTTTGCACATTTAGGTCAATGAACTATTTCAAATTCATTTTTGTGTATCATGTAATGTAAGGATTAATGATATTTTTAAATACAATTATTCCTGCAACATTTGTTGAAAATACTTTTCTTTCCCCATTGAATTTACTTGGCATTTTTCTCAAAAATCTCTTGTCCATAAATGCATGATCTATTTGTGGATTTTCTGTTTCCTTCAATTCATCTATCTATCTCAATACTACACTGTCTTGTTTCCTGTAGCTTTATTTCAAGTCTGAAAATCAGAGTTAATTCTGTAAGGTGTTTTTTTTTTTCTTAAAACTGGTCTTGATTAGTCTGTTACTTGCACTTGCAAGTAAATTTTAGAATCAGCTTCTCAATTCCTGTCAGAAAATAAAAATAAAAAAATTTGGTAGAGATTGTGTTGAATCTATAAATAAATTTTGAGAGTGTACATGCTGGAATTTTTTTTTAGAATTTTATTGAATCTATAGATGAATTTGGAAGAGAAATGACATATTAACCATATTGAATCTTTCAGTGCATCCTTTCATTCGTGTTAGGAAGAAGGTTGTGTGTGTTAATTTGTCCCCCACTGAGGGGCATTTGAGTTGTTCTCAGTTTAGGGCTATTATAATCAAAGCTGCTGTGAACATTCGTGTACAGGTTTTGAATGAACATAGGTTTTCATTTCTCTAGGATAAATGTCCATGATTGAAATTGCTAAGTTGCAGGATAAGTGCATTTTTACTTTTAGGAGAAACAGCTAAACAATTCTGTGTCACGGCTGTATTATTTTATATTCTCCTCACCAGCATTTGGCATTGTCACTGTTTTTAATTTTACCCATTCTATTTGGTGCATAGTGATATCTCATTGTGGTTTTAATTTTCTTTCCCCTAATGGCTAATGATATTGAACATTTTTCCTCTGCTTAGTCACCATCTCTATACATTTCTTTCGTGAAATGTCTGTTCATGTCTTTGGCCTATTTCCTATCTG